TCGGAAGCAATATCTTTAAGAACTTTGAGATATGCGTCCATGCGGTTGTTCTTGGCCTCGTATTCGCCGTGAAACTGGTTGGCTACGAGTTGAGAATCGCAATAGGCGTGTACATGCTCGGCGCCGATACTTTTAGCGAGTCGTAGTCCGGCAATCAATGCTTCGTACTCGGCTTCGTTGTTGGATGCTGGGAAGCCGAGCCGAAATGACTGCTCGATTACTTCTCCTTCGGGTGACTTGAGACGTATTCCAACTCCGGATCCTTTATGGGATGATGAACCGTCGGCGTGAAGAATCCAAGGTTGTACGACCGGATTGTCTTCGACGAGCTCTGGTGGGAGTTCGACCAAGAAGTCTGCTAGGACCTGAGACTTCGTTGCCGTTCTGTTCCGATATTCGATGTCATATTCACTAAGTTCGATAGCCCACTTAGCGAGTCGTCCGGACTGACTTGGGCTGTGAAGGAAAGTGCGAAGAGGGTGATCGGTCAAGACCACGATTGCATGAGACTGGAAGTACGGGCGCAGTTTCCGTGCAGAAATAACCACGGCGAAGGCGAACTTCTCCAAAGTCGGATAACGATACTCCGATCCGTCGAGGGACTTGCTTGTGTAGAAAATTGGTTTTTGTTCGCCGCGATCTTCTCGAACAAGAACGCTGCTAACTGCGAACTCCGAAATCGCGATGTAAGATAAAGTGTCTCGCCGGTTTCTGGTTTGGACAGGACTGGCGGAGTGGACAGATATTCCTTTAGCTCGGCGAAGGCTTCTTCACACTTCTCGTTCCATTCGAGGTGCTTGTTACCACGGAGAAGTTGGTAAAAGGGCAAGCACTTGTCCGTTGATCTAGATATGAATCTGTTAAGCGCTGCAATACGTCCAGTAAGTCGCTGAACTTCGCGTCTGGTTGTCGGCGAGGGGAGATCGAGAATAGCGGCGATCTGCTTTGGATTAGCTTCGATGCCTCGCCGTGTGACGATATATCCGAGGAATTCTCCAGATGTTACGCCGAACGTACACTTAGTTGGGTTAAGCTTCATACCATATTGGTTCAAGATATCAAAGCATGTGCGAAGATGGCCGACGTGCTCGGAAGCGATGAGTGACTTTACGAGCATATCGTCGATGTAGACTTCCATAGTTCGTCCGAGCTGGCTCGCGAACATCCGGTTTACCAGTCGTTGGTACGTTGCTCCAGCATTCTTCAGGCCGAATGGCATGACCTTGTAGCAATATATGCCACGGTCCGTGATGAAGGATGTCTTCTCTCGGTCCTGCGGATGCATGAGAATCTGATTGTATCCAGAGAACGCATCCATGAATGAGAGTAGTTCGTTTCCGGCAGTCGCTTCCACAAGGCGATCGATATGAGGTAATGGAAAGCTATCTTTCGGACACGCTTTATTGAGGTCGGTGAAGTCGACGCAAATTCTCCATTTACCATTCTTCTTTTTCACGACCACAGGGTTTGCCAACCAATCTGGATACTTAACTTCGGTGATAGATCCAGCTTTGAGTAAGCGCTCGACCTCGTCATTCATGGCTTGCGCTTTCTCTGGCCCGAGCTTTCGGCGTTTCTGTTTGATAGGCTTGTATGTCGGATCGATATTGAGCTCGTGGCACGCGATCTGCGGGTCAATCCCGGGCATGTCTTCTACCGACCAAGCGAAGGTTGATGTATGCTGTTTCAGGAAACGAATGAGTGGTTCACGGATGATTGGGTCGAGCTCGGCACCAATTCCAACTTGACGCTCTGGCCTGAGTTCGTCAATGCTAACTTGAACGATTGATTCCTGCTTAGGCTTTGTCTTTTGGACGATGAGCTTGTCAGTTGGGTCCGAACGAATTATGACGCAGTTTGGTGACGAGTGAGTCTTGCACCTCATTTTATGTAGCACGAATCGAGCAAC